GAGAGAGGGAGGGAACGCGAGACCGAGGGAGGGTCTCCCTGTCTGCGAGCCAGAGATTGCGTCAGGGCGGGCTTCCAGGCGCTGATGGGATTAGCGCTCGGCGTCCGGCCAAGGCGTGTCTTTTTGCTTAGTTTCAGGACAGAGTTAGGAATTGGAAACAGCCACCAAACTGTGACAGCATCTCTGGCTTGCAAAGTGGTGTGCCCCAATCAACCCTCCTAAGGACACCTCGAGCATCCTTTTGTCGTTGTCCTGCACCCCCTCTGTATGCCAGGATGCCGGGCGCTACCCGTGTACAGACTCCTGCGTCCCCTTATCTCTGAATTTTGGAGGCCCATCCACTGTGGCTGTCCCGAATGAACTTTCCAAGATGCAGATCGTATCCTGTCGCTCCCTAACACCTTCCATTCCATTGTCTGCAGGTGAAAGAGGACACATTCTTCAGCCCCAACTTAGGGTCCTCTGGGAATTGGTCACCACCCCTTATCTCCCCCTGCACTCACCTATCCTGAAGCTGGCACGCTGGTCCCTTCCCCTGGGCTCCCTTTCCCAGCACCCACTCTGTCTGTCTCACTTCTCTGAGGTTGAAAACTCTCCCCATCCTTCTAGGTTCAACTCCTGGGCTGGGAGCCCATCTCTGATTTCTACCCTCTGTCCCCCAGGGATGGCTTCACCCATTGTCTTCTTTGTTGTAGCCATCCCAGCAGTCAGTTTGGGACTACCCAGCCATAGACTTTTTTCCCCCCAAAAGACACCTCACTTCTGGCGCCCAAGGGCCGTGTCTATCTCAGCATAGTTGCTGCTCACAGGAGGCTCTTAATGAATTGCTGTTGAACAGAGTTCAGAAGTCTTGCTTCATGGCAAGCTGGGGTCATCAGCCTCAGGTGTGTGAGGCTGGGTCCCTTCTTGAATCTGTTCTCAAGATCTGGACTCATGAGAAACCAGTGCTGGGAGTAAGTGGCTTTCCTTGACATTGGTCTTAATCTGCCTTAACTGTACTGACAGGTCCGGCTTTCAGCCCTGGCTCTGTTAATCACTTGCTGTGTGATCTTGAGCAAGGCTCTTTTCCTCTCTGTGCCTTGGTTTTCCCATCTGTACAATGAGGGTAGCCCATGAACCCCCAGGATCCTTCACAGTATGGAAAGGTGACACAAGGAGTTGTCATAACGTTAAAGAACAGGATGGTAGGTGGTGATGGGGCAAGAGCATGGCAGATGTGAGAGCATTTTGAAAAACCAACTCCATAGATTAAGCGATAAGAAATTCTCTGAAGCTGTATTTTAGTCAGTTGTTTCTGGCTTCTTCCGTAAAATACAGTTTTTCCGAACTGCTACTATTCAGCTGTGTGTCCGTTTTTCAATCCCTTCCTCCCTCCCTCCACCCTTCCCTCTCTTCCTTCTCTCCCTCTTTCTCTTCCCTTCATTCCACCATCTGTCAGCTCTGTATCATGCTGTTGACCCAGTGCTGTAGAGGGCACTGTCCTGAGAAGTGTTCATGTGAATTGTAAAATGAATCATAAAGCTGATTGGGGGTGGGTGGAGGTGGATAGATAGGCACCACTGGCTCCAGTGAGAGGTGGGAAGTGACTCAAGCCATAAGATAGGAGCAGGCGAAGAGCAGTGGGAGCTCAAGGGAGGGAGAGAGCTCCTTTGGCAAAGGGGCCCAATGAAAGCTCCTGGAGGAGGTCATCAAATCCAGTCTTGGAAATTTGGACTTTATCCCTGAGACCTGGGGTGCCATTGAAAGGCATTGATCTGAACGTGGCAGGACCAGCGCTGTGCCAGGGGGAAAGGTGGATCAGGTGGAGAGAAAGTGGAGGTGGAGGGTTAGGAGGAGGTTGCTGCGGTTATTCAGGCAAGAGATGACAGAGGCATCTAAGGGACTGGAGAGGAAGAGGGGATGGATTTTGGAAATGGTACCCTCAAGCAGACTTGGTGACTATTGTGAATGAGAAGGAAGTGTCAGAGGTGTGTCTAGGTGTAGGATGGTGGTGACACCTTCTAGGACTGCAGATGTAGAGCCTAGCAGGTTTCAGAGAAGGCGGACAGTGGCAGAAGGCAGCTTAGAGCTGGCTCAGGCAGGTGCCACCTCCTCCTCCCCCACACACATACACACACATCCCCAGGGACCTTCCAGAATGCTGGCGCAGGCCTATCTCCCTCATAGCCACATGGATTTTATTTGTCTCCCCCAAAGACTGTAAGTCCCCAGGACAGTGTCTGGCTCCCCTAAGGGTCTTCAAGAGAAAGTAACTTTTCTGGGTGACCCAGACCCAGTGGACCTTCAGCACAGGCCCAACCTTGAAGCTCCAGGCCGCCAGCCTGAGATCTATACTGCAGGGCCTGTAGCGCTCACAGATGTGGAGCCACACAAGGGCTTTATGGGGTTCCATAAAGACCATCATAAGGAGCCAGTGCCCGCTTCTTCTGGGCCTCAGTTTCCTCATCACTGCATGGGAGCCCGTCTCTTTTTCATCTTTAACCTCAGATATACCCCAGAGCAGCTTGGGGTAATAGGCATTGTTGGAAAACTGACATAGGCTTCAATTGCAGGAGATGCTGGGCCCAGTGTTCAGAGACTCCCAGGTCCACCTCCCAGCCCTCGTCTCCCTGCTGGACTTTATTTTGCAGCAAGTGTGATGAGGGCAGAGAAAGACAGTGGCCTTGGGCTCAGTGGACATCTCTAATCCCTAACAATAGTTATCAATTATTAAGCTCGTAGTGCGTGCCAGGCTTGGAGCTAGGATTTCATATATATTAGCAACTTTTGTAACAGCCCTTCAAGGCAGTTGGTATCCATTGTATAGATTTATAGAGGTTGAATACCGTGCCCAAGCTCATATCTTAGTGGACACACTGGGATTTGAACACAGCTGTCTCACTTCCAGCTGTGGGCCTTCCCCCTGTACCACACTGACCACCTGCCACCGGCTCTCTGCCAGCTTCTCAGCCTGGAATCTGGCTCATGAGGGACTTCTACATGCCCTCTAATTATTTCTAAGAATCTTAGTGTCCTCTCCACCCATGTCTCCCAACACCAGAGGCTACCAGAGCAGAAAGGCTTTTAGGGACCAACTAGCCCAGGAATTTTCTACCAGGAGGGCCCCTGACACCTCTGCAGGGCGAGGCTATGTGGGCCACGTCAGTCCCAGCAGTTTCATTTCATCTGTTGATTTTACTGGAAAAAAAGAAAGAGAGAGAGAGAGAGAGAGAGAGAGAGAGAGAGAGAGAGAGAGAGAGAGAGAGANTTCAAGAAATGATACTGGATCAACAGGGTAGTCATATGCCAAATAAGGAGAGAGAGAGAGAGAGAGAGAGAGAGAGAGAGAGATACAATCCTGACTCACCATAATCGAAATGAATGTAAGAGCTAATGGAAGAACTACATGTCAAAGCTAAAACTATAAAATGTCTAGAAGAAAACAGAAACTTTTCATGATCTTGGATTAGGTAAGGGGTTCTTAAATGGGACATACAACAAAAAAGAAATGATAACTTGGGTCAGACACTCTTTGTGTCTGATCTTTGTTGCCATCTTTCTTGTCTCGGCCTGTTGCCTGGGTACCAGCTAGGACCATCTGGGCAATGACTCCCCCTCCAACCAGCCCACTGCCCTGGTAGGGGGCAACTTTGACACTGCCCTAACTTCATTCAGCACACTGTACCTGCCATGTGCCTGCTGTTAAGGCCAGCTCTAAGGCCCACAGATTCCAAATGTGCCATTAAGTTCAGATTTTGTCCCCCACCCACTCTCGGGCCCTCTGTCACCTCAGCCCTCATCTCTGTACAAGGAGATGTGAATGAAACTTGGTGGTCCCTAGATGTGTTTCCCTCTGCATGCAGTGAGTGGCTCCACTGTGCTCAGCTGTCTCCACTCATGCATGGCCTTGAAGCTTTGGTTAAGTGGAAACAGCCTTCTAGAGATTCTAGCAGTGATATGGAATTCTTCCGACTGGGTTCATTTGGTCATTTCAATGGGGACTTGTTGGCAAAATGGGAGAGGGAATTGAATATAAGGGGTTAGAGCCTCACCTAGCACTGGAAATTTCTTTTGATTCAGGATGGGCCCCAGCTTTCTAACCCTTTAACACTGAAAGTACTAAAATCTAGTCAGTGTATTTGCCTGATATAGTAGGAGGGAGTAGACAGGGCAGTACCTAGCCTTATCGTCAGCAAGTCAGTTCATTTCCGTGCCCAATTACTAAAAGGTCTTAAAATCAGCTTCCTCTAATTACAATTTACTGAGCCCGTTTCCCAGTAAGGAGTTATTCTGAGGATAACTCCACAGGTGACCCAGGCTATGCCTTCACGCCAGTGCTCTTCTCACACAGGGGCCAGACCATGACTGACACCAAGTCTACCCAGTGCCAGGTGTGTACTGACCACTGCCCCCAAGGTCAGGAAAGGCCAGGGCCTCTGGAAGCTGAAGGGACTCAAAGGCCCTGAGGGACGGGTAGGACTTCAAAGGGCAGAGATGTGCTAGCACTCCAACTCCAACCCGGACTCGCACTAGAGGGTGTGTCCTGGGACACGTCCTTCGGAGCCCGGTGTCACTGGGGAGGGGAAGGCAGCATACTCGGGGCTCAGGCGGGGAGAGCACCGATTCCTGGTGATAGAGCCGGGGGGAGGGGGGGGGGCGCGCGGCACCGTCCATCAGGCAGCGACAGTGAAACTGTGGTCCTCGCAGCTCGTCCGCGGCTGAGTAGCTGTACCGGGAACCTGCTGGGAGGAGCGGGATTCCGCCTACGGAAAGGACACAGCTCCGGGCTGAGATCTGGGAGGTCCCAGGTTCCTGGTCCGCACATGGAGAGTCCCGGGCAATCACTGGGGTCCCTACACCGGGCAAGTTCTCCAGAGCCGGGTGGGGAGGCTCGCGTAGCGCGGGACGCGCGGCACCTCCTCCGGGCAGCCGGAGGGGTGGCTCCGGGCGCCATCGCCAGCAGCTGCTGCTGCCTTATAAGGCGGGGGGCCGGGCCACTCGGGGGAGGGGCTGCGGCAGCCCGGCCTCCTCCTCCGCTATCCTAGCGGCGCGGGGCTGGTCAGGGAACACAGCGCAACACAGCGGCAGCCGGAGCCGAGGAGCGTGCGGAGCCGGCCATGGGCAAGTCAGGTGAGCCCACCGGGCCGGCGGGGCCGGGATGCGGGGATGGCTTGGGAGTACCCCGGGCCCTGCGATGCTGTCTGTCATCCTCCCCTGCGGCGGGCTGGATCCCCGGGGTAGCTGGGCTGCTGCCTCTGCGCGAGGACAAGGCTCGGCTGCGCTGCGGGACCCCGGGCGCAGGATGGAGCGGCGCTCGGGGCGAAGCGCCAGGAGGCGCAGCGCGGGCAGTTTCCGGGGCAGCCAGGAAGCTGGGGTGGCCGTCGGGCCACCGGGAGAGAGGGAGGGAACGCGAGACCGAGGGAGGGTCTCCCTGTCTGCGAGCCAGAGATTGCGTCAGGGCGGGCTTCCAGGCGCTGATGGGATTAGCGCTCGGCGTCCGGCCAAGGCGTGTCTTTTTGCTTAGTTTCAGGACAGAGTTAGGAATTGGAAACAGCCACCAAACTGTGACAGCATCTCTGGCTTGCAAAGTGGTGTGCCCCAATCAACCCTCCTAAGGACACCTCGAGCATCCTTTTGTCGTTGTCCTGCACCCCCTCTGTATGCCAGGATGCCGGGCGCTACCCGTGTACAGACTCCTGCGTCCCCTTATCTCTGAATTTTGGAGGCCCATCCACTGTGGCTGTCCCGAATGAACTTTCCAAGATGCAGATCGTATCCTGTCGCTCCCTAACACCTTCCATTCCATTGTCTGCAGGTGAAAGAGGACACATTCTTCAGCCCCAACTTAGGGTCCTCTGGGAATTGGTCACCACCCCTTATCTCCCCCTGCACTCACCTATCCTGAAGCTGGCACGCTGGTCCCTTCCCCTGGGCTCCCTTTCCCAGCACCCACTCTGTCTGTCTCACTTCTCTGAGGTTGAAAACTCTCCCCATCCTTCTAGGTTCAACTCCTGGGCTGGGAGCCCATCTCTGATTTCTACCCTCTGTCCCCCAGGGATGGCTTCACCCATTGTCTTCTTTGTTGTAGCCATCCCAGCAGTCAGTTTGGGACTACCCAGCCATAGACTTTTTTCCCCCCAAAAGACACCTCACTTCTGGCGCCCAAGGGCCGTGTCTATCTCAGCATAGTTGCTGCTCACAGGAGGCTCTTAATGAATTGCTGTTGAACAGAGTTCAGAAGTCTTGCTTCATGGCAAGCTGGGGTCATCAGCCTCAGGTGTGTGAGGCTGGGTCCCTTCTTGAATCTGTTCTCAAGATCTGGACTCATGAGAAACCAGTGCTGGGAGTAAGTGGCTTTCCTTGACATTGGTCTTAATCTGCCTTAACTGTACTGACAGGTCCGGCTTTCAGCCCTGGCTCTGTTAATCACTTGCTGTGTGATCTTGAGCAAGGCTCTTTTCCTCTCTGTGCCTTGGTTTTCCCATCTGTACAATGAGGGTAGCCCATGAACCCCCAGGATCCTTCACAGTATGGAAAGGTGACACAAGGAGTTGTCATAACGTTAAAGAACAGGATGGTAGGTGGTGATGGGGCAAGAGCATGGCAGATGTGAGAGCATTTTGAAAAACCAACTCCATAGATTAAGCGATAAGAAATTCTCTGAAGCTGTATTTTAGTCAGTTGTTTCTGGCTTCTTCCGTAAAATACAGTTTTTCCGAACTGCTACTATTCAGCTGTGTGTCCGTTTTTCAATCCCTTCCTCCCTCCCTCCACCCTTCCCTCTCTTCCTTCTCTCCCTCTTTCTCTTCCCTTCATTCCACCATCTGTCAGCTCTGTATCATGCTGTTGACCCAGTGCTGTAGAGGGCACTGTCCTGAGAAGTGTTCATGTGAATTGTAAAATGAATCATAAAGCTGATTGGGGGTGGGTGGAGGTGGATAGATAGGCACCACTGGCTCCAGTGAGAGGTGGGAAGTGACTCAAGCCATAAGATAGGAGCAGGCGAAGAGCAGTGGGAGCTCAAGGGAGGGAGAGAGCTCCTTTGGCAAAGGGGCCCAATGAAAGCTCCTGGAGGAGGTCATCAAATCCAGTCTTGGAAATTTGGACTTTATCCCTGAGACCTGGGGTGCCATTGAAAGGCATTGATCTGAACGTGGCAGGACCAGCGCTGTGCCAGGGGGAAAGGTGGATCAGGTGGAGAGAAAGTGGAGGTGGAGGGTTAGGAGGAGGTTGCTGCGGTTATTCAGGCAAGAGATGACAGAGGCATCTAAGGGACTGGAGAGGAAGAGGGGATGGATTTTGGAAATGGTACCCTCAAGCAGACTTGGTGACTATTGTGAATGAGAAGGAAGTGTCAGAGGTGTGTCTAGGTGTAGGATGGTGGTGACACCTTCTAGGACTGCAGATGTAGAGCCTAGCAGGTTTCAGAGAAGGCGGACAGTGGCAGAAGGCAGCTTAGAGCTGGCTCAGGCAGGTGCCACCTCCTCTTCTCCCACTCCCC